AGTTTGTCCGGTGACCGGAGTCACAACATAAATAACCTGCTGATGAAACTCCACAGGAACAAGTCACCAACATTTCACAGGCTGAACTGTATTCCTCTCCACAAGCCCAGATACATAGAATGTCAGGGTCACTTTCCGAGCCGTTCCCTGGCTTAGAACTAGGGGCTGAACTAAACCAAAATGTTGCTCAGCCTGTATCTCTGCTATAGTGAAGGACAGGGAAATTGTCAGTGGTACTAACACAGGCTGTGCCCTAATATTGTTCATTTTCCATAGGACCTGGGTACCAAAAGTTCTCTATTAAGGACACTGTTGACTCTTTGATCAAGTACCAGGCAGTGTATTAAGGACACAGTCAGACACCCTCATGTCTGAGCTCCGGTTTGGGGATTTCAAGTCTGGGTTTATCAGCCCCTTACTGAGACCAGGTATACAAATAGGGTTACTTAGCTCCCTTCTAAACCTTGCCCTTCCCTTCCTACCCTGCAGTTCTGACACTGAGAAGCCAGAACCTTTTGAGGCCGGGCAGTGAAAGAGTTAACTCCCGAGAACCCCGGAGACAATCAGAGACATGAGATGTTGGCTCCATTTCTTCCACACTCTCACCGTGCTCAGAGGTGATTTTCTTCCCCAAAACAGTGGAGGGTCCTGAGATTTTTTTCTCAGTCAGAATTTCCCGATTCTTAAGTTCTCTTGATTTGCAGGTGCCCTGTCCAAGGTCCAGCTGGTGGAGTCAGAGACTCCAAAGCGCCGAGACTCTCTCCGCCTCTCCTGCCAAGCCTCTGGGTTCACCTGCAGCAGCTCCTGGCTGGGTTGGGTCCCCCGAAAGGGCATTGGATGGGGCATGTCAGGTTTCCACAGACAGCTCTGAAAGCGGCACAGATTCCGCCAATTCAGTGAAAGGGGATTTACCATCTCCAGGGGAACCACTGAGACCTGCTGTATTCGCACAGGAACAGCTTGAGACGCTGGGGCTTCTACTGGAGAAAACACACACACTCCTCCCACCAATGAGAGGTCACGGAGCGAAATGTAGGGAGCGGAAAATTCAGCCTCATTAAATATATGTACATAAAATGGCATAAATCAGAGTGTTGGGGTTTTGCCTAAGGTTGGGGTTGTGACATTCTA